AATCATTTCTATTTTTAAATAGAAATAAAATGGGACTGATGTTTTCATGAGGAAATCCAATGTTTAACAAGTTGATATTTAGCAGAACACAAAGCTTTTGGCAGTCATCAATTGTGCTAAATACATGGCGTTAAATTAATTGCAAGTTATTGTAGCAACTTTATAGGATATATCATCAAATAGCAGATACGGGGAATTTTCCCTCTATATTCCAATGGTTAGGTTGGCCATATAATTCAATTAAACATGGAGCATTCAGGCTTCTCTGCAGAGATAAGTGCCCACATCAAGCAATTTGAAATCAAATGGTTGTGGCATCACCCTCCTCCACACAATAAGATGTGATAATTTACAGAGACAATGGGTATGTTAATCTATTCAGTGGGGTTTCAAAGTTACTAGCATTCAAAATATTACATAAAAACATAAACTCTACAGCTGTTTAGACAGATGAGCCAAGGAGGGAACCAGTTACCCATTCATTTCTTGTTAGAAAAGAACAATCACTTTGCCAAGGACTTAGATCTTTCTTTTTGTCTTATTTGTGTTGACTTGTAGTCTTGTCATTATTTTCTCAGTGTATATAATATAGATCATACATTAAGGGACAACTCTAATTATTTACATGCTCTTGAAATTTGTCATTGTGTCATAGAAAATGTGCTTAAGACTTTTAAAAGTCTTCTTACGGTGCCCGTAGTTCCAGAATTTTCTGAGCTAGAACTTTGTCTTCTATTTGAAGTCACGAAGGCTATTAATGAAAATTTCTTTGGCTTTTAAATTGGGAAGATATTTTCAATTGTAAGTTGTAGGTCACCGGTAGTTTTCAGAGTATAAAGGTGCTTATATGCATACCTTTGAAGGAGAGATTTCTACCAAGGACTTGTCCTGGTAATTTTGTTTTTCTTTTTCTGTATGTTCGAACAATAAAATATATTAACTCAGAGTCAACACGATAAAAAGTACTGCAATAATTACGCTCATATTTATGAATAAAATAGTTTTTTTTAATTTTAAATCCTAATTCAGTTTTTCAGTTTTTGATTCTCTTTGCTTTATTACTTTTTAATTCCTTTAACTTTCAAAATTACAATGTTCAGAGATATAGCTGTTTTTCCACAGAATTAATTCTCAGATTTTTTTTCATTCTATGTATTTCATGTACTTACTTTTGTACTTGCCATTTAAGTTTTTCCCCTCAAAATCTTTTTTTTTAAGTTTTAGATGATTATTTAGTTATTTCTTTTTTTTAAGATTTATTTTCATTTATTTATACAAGCACTGGGCACAGTCAGAAGCACGGGAGGGTGAGAGAATTCACCAGAGCCATAGCTGGGGGCAGAACAGGCAGAAGGACCGAAGTACACTGCTGAGGGGAGCAGCGGGCGGCAGGAGAGGTCTGCGCGCCATGTGGGACCCTCCTCGGGTGGCCGGGGAGCAGCCGGGGATCGAACCGGCGCTGCAGAGGCTGCAGGCATCTTCGCAACCCAGCGCTCAACCGCTGCGCCACCGGGGAGGCCCATTATTTAGTTATTTCATTTGATCATTTCATTCATCCAAGAAAATAAAATATTTTGAAGTCATGGCTTTTAAAAAGATTCATTTTCTTAACAGAATATTACTTAACTTTTATTGATTCTTTACACCAAATTTTGTTACAAAGTATTACACTTTATATTTAAAGAAAAATATCCCAACCTACTGATGTAAATGTTAAGTAATGGCTCATTTTAATCAAATAAAGATGAGTAATGGTTGTTTCTACTTTTGAATATATATTGATGTTTTCTGTGTTCTAATTGGTGTAGCAACAAGGTACATGTCTCTCTCTGCCCCACCAGATAAGCTCTCCCATTTCCTTACTTTATTTACCCTCCAGGCTTAACAAACTCTGTTTTCTTACATTCAGAGGGCAAAAGAGCATCCCTAGGAAGATAACATCAGAATTGTTACCACCAGATGATAGCAAAAACAAACTGGCATCACCCAAAACCTCCAGACACTTGCATTACAACAATGGACATGCTGACCCTCGCCCACTCCCGGCTTCTGCTCCCTTTTAATTCTAGATGAACACTCCTGCACTCTACCAAAGAGCAGGACTGTGGTCTTTCAGACACAAGTCTGCTGTCCTCCTCAATTTGTTAACAAAGTAAAATACTTTTTTTCTCCTCAGACTCTTTCATTAGTCAAGGGAATGGAATGAACGCACTGTCATATATTTAAGTGTTACAGATACGTGGAAGTTAGAACTAATCTCTGAGTATTTTGTGTCATGTAATCATGTGTATTAACACATTTAATTTGCAAATAAATAAATAAATAAATAAATAAATAAATAAATAAAACCTAAGGTTTGGATGCCAAATTTTTACAGTTTATAAATCAGAAGTTCTAAGTCTGGAGATACCAGGCTGAACAAGAGAAATACGGTCAGTGTGTCAGGAGCTAATAAGATTCCTATTGGGAGTGTACAAAATTATCAAAAATTGAATAGCTTAAAATAGTACAAATATATTACGTTGTAATTCCTGAGGACAAAGGTCTAAAACAGGTTTCCACTGGCATAACATCAAGGCATCAACAGGATTATGTTCCTTCTAAAAGTTCTAGTTGCTTCTTTCTAGTTTTCAGAGGCTTCCTGCATTTCTTGGTTGAAAGTCCCCTTACATCTAAAGGCCGGCCACAGCCAGCCAAATCCTTCCCACATCACATCTTTGTGACACTAATTCTTCTCTTTCCTTCTTCCATTCATATTAACTTTGTGATTCCACTAGGCCACCTGGATAACCCGGGATAATCTCCACATCTCAACATCAACTGATTAGTAATCTCAATTTCATCTGTGACTTTAATTCCCTTTTTCCAGGTAATTTAACATATTTACAGATACTTGGGATAAGAATGTGGACATCTCTGAGGACCCACCTTTATGCCTACTATGGGGAGTTTTGTTGGGAAGTAAAGGAATGGGGATATCATCTAAACATCTTATTATAAATAATACTCTCCAGGAAAGTACAAAATGAGATAAATTTAAAATACAGAAATATAAGTAAGACAGATGGTAAATTGAAACTGGCACAATTGAATGTCAGTTCAAATGAAGGTGTGGGCAAATTTCAAAGATGATAGGGAAGGTTTCTTAGAGAATCAAATGATAAGAAGTTAATTAAGCAGACATCCAGGGAAAGAGGACTTCAGACACAGGGATTAAAATGCACTGGAGTCAAAACCAGAATAAATTTGTAATATTCTTAAAACAGAAATATGAGAGGAAGAGAGTGAGCTAAGGAACATATTAGTGAGCCTAATATCCAAACTCCTTAAGGTGGTTTACTTGATTTTATGTGATCTGATCTCTGCCCATTTCTCTACCTCTCCCTAAATGTGACAGCAAGCCACCCGGCAGCTTACACAGTGTTTACACAACAGTATTATAATTTTGAAAGTTCACTTTGACTGCTTCATAAAGAATGGGTTATAGGACATAAGAGAGGAGTCAATGAAACCCTATAGTGAAGGTTTAAATGAGGGGTGTGAGGGAAGAGGAACCCCAGATGACTCTTGAGAGTCTAGCTTTCATAAGTGGGGCTGCTGATATTGTTCCTATTGTTCTAGTACATTTTCAGTGGATTTTTATATTAATTAAGAGGCTGGATGCTGAAGCTTTTAGGAGAATCTAAAAGAGAACAGTTTGTAACAAAAACTTAATCTAAAGGAGAACAATTTATAACAAATATTGGCACGCTTGACTTGCTGGAAGTGAAATTTTATGGCACTCTTTCCTCAGACACAAAATAATCAGTTTGGGTGCTATTAGGTCTAAGGTGATTCTGTTTCAGCCTCTTATCCCTAGGCTCCAAATCCATTTTAAAGGGAACTCATCTAAATTGATTGAGAGAGGCAGAGTGGGGGGCCTGGGAGGCAAACAGTCCAGATAGATAGATAGATAGATAGATAGATAGATAGATAGATAGATAGATAGACAGACAGATAGATAGATATAGGTGATGAGAGATGATGAGGTGAACCCTTGAACACCAGGCTATTATTCAACAGCAGGCTTATAGTAGTTAAGTTTTGGAGAAGTCTAAACTTACACACAGATTTTTAGCTGTGGGGGTGGGTGGCAATGTTGATATAAGAAAGAGTTGGGGAATAAGTCTGACTGGAGGGGAAAGTGTTACAAAATTATTTAAAAAGATATTTCACAGAACACCTAATTTATAAGGTGAAAATAAGTAGAATTTTGAAAGAAGGAACTATGACTGCGAGATTAGTGCAGGAGACTGAAGAGGGGATGGAGTGGGGTTTCTACAGTTTATAGGAATCTGTTCATTCATCAGAATCTTGATGAATTACTCCCCATAGAGAACAAAGCTGGCACACAGTGTGAAGAGATCAAAGCTGGAGAGCAAACACCACCCTGATGGTGCAGAGCATAAAGCATAAGCGTTTGGGGACGAATAATTAAATGGTGCACTCATTCACTCACTCATTCATTCACTAATTCTTTGTAAAGCATATACAGTATGTCAAGAGCAATGACAAATGCTAAGGACATGAAAAATGAACAAAAAATTGTTTTTGTCTTCAAAGGGTCACAGAGAGGCAAAGGCAGGCAAGTATTGCAAACTTGGAATGGCAGCCATTTAAAAGACAATAAGAAATATTGCCACTCTTGGAGAACTTGTGAACCAAGCTCTTAAGATTTTGAGAAACTTTAATTTTGAGAAAAATTAACTGAATATCAGTTTTGCTGTGTGTTTTTGTTTTTGTTTTTTTTTTTTACAAAAAAAATATGTGTGGGATTGGACAGAGTCTGTAAAGACTGAAAGTTCTCTGGTTTGAACCAATGGTTTTAATGTTTATGCAAACAACTGAATAGCATGTTAATGATGCCCTGGGAAAAGGACAGTGGAAGTTGCCTGGATTCACTGATGAATGGTATCCTGGGCAAAGTGGTATCTGAATATTAAATAACGAAAACTCTTTACCTAAGAGATGGAGAAGAGAACCCCGAAGAGATGGAGTCGTACGTTCTATGGGCTGGAGGTCAGAAGTCCAACAGCTCTGAGGCATGCAAGAACTCTCAGAAGACTGGAATGCAGAGTCTCAGTGGCTAAAGAGAAATGACAATGTAGCGTTCAGTCTATTAGCAAGATTGTGGCCACATCTGTGAGCTCCATGGTGAAACAGTTTAATCTCAAATCTAACACATTGAACAATAAACAATAAAGGGAAGAAAACCAAGGTACACCTTGTACTGCTGAGTTCAGACTTGTAACACACCGCTGTCTCAAGAGATTTTCTTCTGCTGGCTAAGCCTCTTACGTTTGGCACAAAACAACATTGTCAAATGTAAGCTTGATTCCAGCAGGAAAAATTAAGATACTCTAGTCCCAGTTATTTACTACAACTGTGCTGAGATCCAGATACCTGCTTACCTGACAATACATAGAGACAATGCCCTTAGGTTTTCCTATAAAACTTACTATTTGGACTAAGCACATTAATAAAACTGATGGGGATCAAAATGAAATAGTCTGAAGAGACACAGAGGAAAAAAAAATGGTGGACTATTCCCCTGACTAAATTTTCTCTTTTTACGTTTTGTTTCTCTAAACCCTGATTTATAATACTCAATCGTTACTCTTTGAGGGTGGAAATCATCTCCAATTTTTCTTTCTACCCTCCATGTTTTAAAATTAAAGTCTATTCTGCATATGCGTTCCACTAACATTTAGTCTACTGAATTAAATGATGTTTTAGTTACTTATTGCAGTATTGCAAATTACCCCAAGGATTAATAGCTCAAAACAACAGATATTTATTATTGCACAATTTCTGTAGGCTAGGAATCTTAGAGTAGCATGGCTGGTGGGATCTGGCTCAGGATTTTTTTTTTTTCTTTAAGGCTGCAATCACAGTGTTGGTTGGGGTTATGGTATTCTCAAAAATCAAGTTAGGGAGGCCCTACATCCAAGGTTACTCATGGGGTGCTATCAGGACTAACAATATACGCTCCAAAGATCACTCCTATGGGCCTCAGGACAGGGCTGTCTTATAATCTGGTCCCTGGATTCCACAGCACAAGAAATCCCAGGGAGGATGTGGGAGAAAACCCAACACATTTTTATAACCTAATCTCAGAAGTGATAGCTTATCATTTCTGCCACACTCTAGTCACTACAAGTGAGTGAATAACCCCAGGCCTCACTCCAAGGCAAGAAACATTACAGGTCATAAATATCAGGAAATAGAGCTCAAGATAGGGCACTCTTGATCCCTGATATTGCCTAGCACCATCATCTTAAAGAGAAATTGGAAAAACACACTACTTTCTGCATAAAAATTAGGATATTCTTACTGGAGAAGAAGTTGATAGTGGATAGGGGCACAAAGTCATTATAGATTGAGCAACTTTGAAAAAGCCCATGCCCTTTGAGACTTAACTATCTTATGATTCCTAAAATCATCAATAAAATCAGCATCAAAATGGTGAGGGTACAATCAGAATTTTTTTTATATAAATCTAAAACAAGTGATTTTTATACTTAGGTTTGTTTTTTTTTTTCCACAGTATAGAAGCAAGTCAGAAAAGAGAACATAGATGTACAAATACAAGAAAGAATAGGCAGTGTATCCCGGGAATTGACAGAAATTTGGGGGTGATATAGGGAATCACACAGCTATGAAATCAGAGTTGAAGTTTATTATAACCAGATCTGAGGAGCACAGCAATTTCCAATGTTTTCTCAGGTGCATGTTTATTTGTTGGATTCTATTTCAATGTCCATTTTTCCTGCTAGACAGAAAGAAGGCTCCATGATGTTATGGGCTATATTTTATTACCGACTCAATGGAACCGAGAATTAGATTTTTGGAGAAGGAAAAACAAAACCGAAATAAGAAAAGACATCATTGTTTTTTCTAGTTCTTAGAACACTGCCTGGTATAGAATAGAGCCTTATTTTTTTTTTTTTTAGTAGAATAAAAGAATGTGTTTACACATTTTGTCTCTGCAAGGTAGAGATCTATTGTTTTATGACTGCCTCCCCTTCGGAAGAAAGGCTCCTTCCTTAGACATGATTCCTTCCATTGCCACAACTCACATTGCCTCCTGACAAATTGCATAGAAACCTATAAGGAACTTGGCATAATAGGCTTACTCAAAAGGATGATTTGCAGCCCAATCATCCTCTCACAATGAGAGTTATACAGAAAAGCAATTAGTTGGAGTCAGCAAAGTATAAAAGCAGAAGAGACAGTGACTAAGCTGTCTTAATGGCAAAACACTAGAGTAGGAACTGCTAGGCAGATGACTAAACCCTTAATTTTGTGTAAATAATTATAAAAGAGACTCTCACTTTTAGAAAGAAATTCTAATTGTTAATGAGAATTGATTGACTATGGAGATTTTTTTTTTTCCTCCATGCCTTTGTTCCTTCCTTTTGTTTTTTATTGTTTGTAATGCTGTTGACACCATCTAAGCAAGGAAGAGTGTGTCTTTGGATTCTGGCACTGTGTATATAAATGAGTATTATTGAAGCCCTGCATTTTTAAGAGCAAAGGTCATAATATATTCTTACAGAAAAGCTTCCTTTAAGCCTCTTGTCTCCCAACAAACTGTTCTCATGAGAAGTTCTTTGTACCCCATACTAGATAATAAACTCCACAAGAAAAGGAAGTATTAATTCACTAATGTATCCTACATAGCACAATTCCTGTAATATAGTAGGTTCTTAATAAATATTCATTGAGTGACTGTTTAATGAATTGGCATCATTTTCAAAGCCTCATTATAAACAGGATATGAATTTTCATTCTCTCTTGCCCTGATTTAATAGCTGAAATTCCTTTAATAAATCATGCATTGCATAAAAATTCTGTCACTAAAGACAAAGACACATCATATTCTGTTTGCCTCTTTCTTTCTTTTTTCCTTTCTGGCCATTAGTGTTTTTGTGTTTAAACAATTATGACATCTAGAATGGTACTTTTACTCAAAATCTTAATGGAATTGGAGTCATATTTTTGGAGAAGAAAACAATACTGAAACAAGCAAGGAAGTTCATTTATTTTCCATTTGTATAGGACAAAAAAATGGAGATGATTTGCTTAACCTTAACCTCAGACAACATGTAACTTCTCTTTGTAAGCATATGTGTCAACTGCCTCTAGTGCTCCACATTACATCTTCTCCATGTACCTTCTCATCCAACTATTGCTGCACCAAAAAGTTTTCCACACGTGTAACCTGATGGCACTTTCACCTGAGCTCCACATCTGGTAACTTTCCATTTTTACCCTAGGTCTTTTCTAAAAATCGCTTGCAAACATCTGCCAAGCACTCAGACAAGAGACAGATCACTCAGAAGAGGGAGCTGACACCTGTGTTGGTCTTGTTTCTCCAAAGAAGCAAACAACGGGATATGTTGTCACAATACACATTGCCTCCTGGCAAATATACCTAGATACCTGTACTTATATTTACTTATTTATTCAAAATAATTGGCTCACATGATTCTGGAGGCTGGCAAATCCAACTCTGCAAAGTTGAGACCCCATTGGCACTGGAAGGCCAGTGACTGCTCTAGGCCAGAGAGTCAATGTCCCTACAGGCAGGAGATACCTTTGGTACCAGGAAGAGGATCAACCTTTTGTTCTCTCAGGCCTGCATTTGACATTAGGGAAGGTAATCTGCTTTGTTCATTCTACTCATTTAAATATTAACTTCATCCATAAGCACCCTCAAAAGAAATACCCAGAATATGTTGACCAAATATCTGGGCCTCCTGGGACCTACTCAAGTCAAAACAAAAAAATTAACCATCACATCCCTCCTGGGGAAAATCTTACACTTGGAGAATGTGAGTGAATGAGCACCCCCTTTGCCAGCCTTCACAGGTGCAAATGGTGAGGCCCATTTTGCATGACCCGTATGAGACCCCAGCCAGAAGCCCCAGTGAATAACTCAAGAACCCACTTCATGTTGTGCTTCCCTCTGCATCTGTTTCACTGTCATCATCATTTCACTCTTATCTACACACCCCCTGTCACTTTCTAAAATAAATCATCTGTACTTAGTATCTCAGGTGCTGCTTTTCCGGGGGCGGCAAACAGGCTAATACAATAAGATCATCAAAACGTTCTCTTGTTTTTCCAGCCTTGTCAAAATATGATTGACAATTCAAAAAATTATGTGTGTGTATATATAGATTGTAAAATAGTAACTATATGAGGTGACAGATGTGTTAATTTGATCTCAATAATCGTTCATAATGTATACAAATATAAAACCACGGCATTGTACACACTAAAAAATATTATTTCATATATGCCCTGTTGAGAATCCAAAATTATCTTTGATATAGGATGCATTTTGCTGTCCCAAATGCTTAAGTTCTTTGGAACTCATTTGCAAACTTCTAAAAGGAAGATTGACATACAGATATGATAAGTCCCACAATTAGCTTACACAAACACAACTTTAATAAATTGAATGTGTAGTAACTAGACTGGCTACACCTCACTAGACTTCTGGGCTGAGTTGACCTGTGTTCTGTTAGCCCTAAACATCAGACTCGTTGAATCAAAGTTCACAAAACTAGTAAAGTGGACCATAGCAATGGAAATCAGAACTTTCTGACTTTAGAACCCAATCTAACCCCTGGTTCCAGTATTGCCTTTGATGTATCAATAATCTGTTGGAAACTACAGTAAGTCTTCATTTAAGATTGTTGCTAGGTTCATGGAAAGTGGACTTCAAGGAAAATGATGTATAATGAAACCAATTTGACCACTGTCTGAATGATAGAGACAAGAGTTCAGTTCTTTCGGCATATTTCTGCTCACAAACATATTTCCAAACTTCTAAAGAGAGACACCCAAACACTTTGAATGTGAAACAATCTTTGGCATTCATTCAGTTACTCGTGTATTTATTCATTTTCAACTTGTTTATTCCATTTGAGAGCCTCAAGTGACCACAGCCTCTCCAGCAGTGCAGAGCGCCAGGTGGGAACCAGGCCAGGACAAGTTACCTTTCCATCACAGATGTCACTCACACACCCCTGTACTCAACCAGATTGCTCCAACTTAAACATGGCCATGAGCCGA